CCGGGCGCACGCGCCGCCCGGCGTGGCGGCGCTCGGCTGGCGGGACGCGGCGTGTGCCCCTTCTCCCTCTTCAGCGCCCGGGCCCCGCGGGCAGCGTGGCCGGAGTCTCTCTGCCGGACACTGACCCGGGCGGCCACGGCCCCGCCGCCGGCTTCGTCAGGGCCAGGGACCACGCCACCGGACATCCTGCGGGCACAGAACCAAGCGGGGCGTGATGGCCGGAGGCCGAGTGACCGCCATGCGCCCGGAATCGCGGGACGCACGTGATTATCGAGCCATCTCAGAGCTGTCGCGGGCGACCGGCGTCCGGAGAGCCACGTGCCGGTCCACCGTGGTGGCACGACTCGATGCGGATCCCCGGACAGGCCGGGGTCTAACGGTAAAACGAGCAGCTCGGTCTGCAGGAGAAAACCCGGCCACCTACGCGTTCAGAATTCGGTTTCATGCGTCATGTCTTTTGGTGTCCGATAAGGGAGCTTAGGTACCCTTAACTCGTGTAAGACGTCCCGTGAACAAACTCCAACAGCCAGGAGCCATGCACAGAAGAAGTGTGGCGGCCCAATGAGTCTGTAGATTTTTTGAGTCTGAGAAGGGTGATTTAGAGGCTTCACTTCCCAGTCTGACAGATTAAGAACTAGACTTCTCCAGAGAACAGTTTACGTTGTAAGGTCTCTGAACTCTAACTCCAAGAAGTTACTTCAGATAAGGTGAATATCTATAATTAAAGAGCGTGAACTACTTCCAAGAAACAGGCTGGGAAATTTCTCATGCCCTGAAGTCATTAGAGACATTTTCATTTCCCTCCTCCCCTCACTCCACTTGCTGGGCTATGGCCACAGAAAAAGGACTAAACTTACATCATCCACGCTCTGGTGGCCGGCTGTGTCAGGGGGAGATGGGGAAAGAGCAGATGGCAAGGGTACCAGAGAGACATAAACAATTTGCCTTGGCAAGGAGAAGGAATGCTCGGCAGGTGTTAAGAGGTGATCCAGCTGAGCTGGATTATTTGTAAAGAGCAAGATAAGAATAGATGTAAAAGCCTATCTTAGGGAGAGAAAATGAACAGAGGGGATAGCATTGGGCAAAAGATGTATTTGATAAACAACAGCTGGTAGACTAGAGTGGGAAAGAACATTGGAATTGGGGTTAGAAAGGGAGGGTAATTATTAGGTTGTAAAGCCATGAATGCCAGGCATTTTATTTTGCAGGCAATAGGAAACATGGATGGGATTGACACCATCAGAACTGTGTTTTAGAAAGTGAACTGGGAAGGAAATCAACGAGGAATTGTTGGCGATCAGAGACTGAAGGCTGGGTAAATAATTATATGACTGCAGTAATCAGGTGAGAAAGAATGACGGCTGAACTAGGACCTTGATTCTGGAAGCTGGAAGGAGGAGGATAGATTTGAACAAGAGTTTGGAATTGGGGAAAAAATAAAGGTGTTTCATTTGAATTCATGGGTCTGCAGGCAAATGCTAGCCCATCCTTGGTTGGAACACCTTGTGTCTAATATTGAGGTATTAACAGCCTAGTGAAAGAGACCAAATAAGAAAAATAAAATATTGCAAATAAGAGAAAAAGGTAGAAGTGTATTCAAAGAAGAGGTAAAGTCAGGCACACCATGGAAAGTGAGAGACTAAGTAATCACTAACGGGGTAAGCAGAAAGGCGCCATTGGATGGTTCTATGAATGGTTCTGTGAAATAGGTGGTTAGTTGGCATTTGAAAACAAGGAGCAACTTGGTTTCTAGAGAGAATGGGGGAACAGGGTCGGGTGAGGGAGTATATACGGGATTGCCTGTCAAAATGATTTATCCAAGGAGTTTCCGAATTCTGGGGACTATTTAGCCCAAAAATGGCAGAGAGTGAGGAAAGTATGTAAAGCAAATCGAAGATGATCTTTGTATCCCAAGACTAAATTATGAGTCCTTTAACAATGGTGTATTTTGTCAGAATGCGATATTCTCTTTAATGGTACTGGAACTCACGATGATAGGGAAATGGGAATTTGGCCTGCACTAAAGATGAAAAATAATGCAAGTGATACAACGTGAAGGGCTGACGCTGGTGCAATCAATCACTGTTAATAAGGACAAGGTCCTAGCAATATACCAAAAAGTTGTGATAAAAAGAATAGTTCTGGTTTCTATTTACATTCACTCTGGAATTTTCATAATAGAGTATCTTAAAACTTAATACAAATTTACTTCTGTGGAAAGAATCAAATATAAACGTTCTTAGGCAAGCATTTTTATCACAAAGCATAAACTTCTTTTTTTTCCGAGTTGGAGTCTCTGTTGCCCAGGCTGGAGTGCAGTGGTACGCCCACAGCCACTGCAGCCTCGTCCTGCTGGGCTCAGGTGATCCTTCCGCCTTAGCCTTCCAAGTAGCTGGACATATAGGCACATACCACACACCTGGCTAATTTTTTAATTTATTGTAGAGACAAGGAAAGTGCTGGGATTACAGGCATGAGCCACCACACCTGGCTCTTTTTTTAAAGAAAAAATATTGCAGCCAAGTAAGGATATACTGCCTGGCAGTAAATGGATATCTGCAAAGCCTAAAACAGTGTCCTGTGGGCCGGGTACAATTGCTCAAGCCTGTAATCCCAGCACTTTGGGAGACCAAGGTGAGAGGATTGCCTGAACTCACGGGTTCAAGACCAGCTGGGCAACTTGATGAGACCTCATCTCTACTATAAATTTAAAAAATAATAATAATGATAATAATAAGCCGGGCTCGGTGGCTCAGCCTGTAATCCCACCACTTTGGGAGGTTGAGGTGAGTGGATTGCCTGAGCCCACGGGTTCGAGACCCGCCTGGGCAACTTGGTGAGACCTCATCTATACAATAAAATCAAAAATTAGCTGGGCGTGGTAGCGCACGCCTGTAGTTCCAGCTACTTGGAAGGCTGAGGCGGAAGGATCGCCAGCACCCTGCAGGTCGAGGCTGCGGTAGCCGGGAGCGGCCACTGGACTCCAGTCTGGGTGACAGAGTGAGACTCCATCTCAAAAATAATAATAATAATAATAATTACCCAGGGTGCTGGCACACACCTGTAGTTCCAGCAACTTGGAAGGCTGAGGTGGAAAGATCACCTGAGCTCAGTAGGTTGAGGCTGCGGTGACCGTGAGCGTGCCCCTACACTGCATCCTGGGTGACAGAGTGAGACTCCAACTCAAAAAAAAAGTACCCTATGATAGATATGACAACTATGTCTTTATCCATGCTTCATAATTAGCATATTAATTTTGTATATTTCTCTGTACATCAGCTTAACTTTATGTAATATTAAAATCTGTTTGAGGTTGAGTGTAGTGGCTCATGCGTGTAATCCTAGTATTTTAGGAGGCCAAGGCAAGAAGATTGCCTGAGATTAGGGGCTCGAGACCAGCCTGGGCAACATGGTGAGTCCTCATCTCTACAATAAACCAAAAAATTAGCTGGGTGTGGTGGCACATGCGTATAGTCCCAGCTACTTGGAAAGCTGAGGAAAAAGAATCACATGAGCCCAGCAGTTCGAGGCTATGGTAGCCATGATCGTGCCATTGCACTCAGGTCTGGGCAATAGAGAGACTTAGACTCAAAAAAAAAAAAAAAA